CGACAATTTCTGTGGTCAGGATTTTAACCAGCCATTGGGCGGGACTGTCACCATCGAGGGGACCCCGCTCTTTGTGGATAAGGAGGATGGGATGACCTCGGTGGCTGCCTACGACTACAGAGGACAAACTGTCATCTTTGCGGGCACGCGGAGCGGGAAGATCAAAAAGGTAGGAGAGCCCTCAGTGATGCCGGTGGGGAGGGATGACTGCTCGCCTCGCTGGCCCTTCGGGGGTACAGGTGGGGCTGTGCCTCCGTCGTAGCATGACTTGATATATTGGGGGTAAAGTGCAAAGGGCCAGTGAGGGGCAATTTCCCCTTTCTCCTCTCTGCCAACTAGATTTACAAAATCTCTGTCTTTTGGAAGGGTGATAACCTGGGGAATTTGTCCCAGCCGCTGGTGGATCGGAGCCTGTCTCGTTGTCTCTCAGGGCGGGCGGGTTTGCCCTGTAGCTGCCACAGGGTGGGCTCTGTCTGTCCGGGTCTGTATGGCTTTGCCATTGACCTGGGCAGGGTGGGCAGAGGTGGGTGCTGGTGGCTCCAGCTCGTCATGGGGGATACTTCTCTTCCTGTGCCCCGCCACGGCACAAAAGGCTGCTTGTTGGTGGCAATTAGCAAGTAGCTCCGTGTGTGCCTTTCTCTGCCTGCATCTCCACAGGGCACGGATTTCCTGTTATCGTAACGTCGTGCCTGTAATTACAGCTGTACATGCCCTGTATAAACACAGCTTGCATTAACTGCATCCTCAGCCAGGGAAAGGCAGTGCAAAGGTCCTGGTGCCGTCCTTGCCAGGGGCAGGAGGACCAGGGCTTGGCAGGGGGCCCTGACCCGTTGCTCTGTGCCTGGTGAGGTGCTCCAGCACCCCGTCCTGGGCACAGCGCCCTGCATTTTTGTTGCTTCTCGTGATCTGTGCCAGAGAAGGCAGGGTGGCTTCCCTCGCAGGAGTCAGGAGCAGGGTGCTGTTGTGGGTGATAGTCCCCGTGGGTTGTGCTCGCCCTGCCCGTGTTGCCTCTGGCCCCCTGACCTGCCTGCAGCCCTGCCTGCTAGCAGGGGGGACGTGGGCAGCATGTGTTGGGGTGGGGGGCAGGATGCTGGTGGTCCTCTCCAGCCCCACATCATCTGCATGGCTTTCTGCAGTCCTTGGGGATGGGCATGGCGGCGCCAGGGCTGAGCGGGGCTGCGGGGAGCTGACGGTGCAGCTCGTCCTCCTTCCGGATCGATGAGGGATCCGGAGGGAACGGTGTCGCGTTGCTGGCGGCTTTTGCCGCCGGGGCGCCCAT